TTTTAAATCAAACAATTAAAATCGTGCAACATAAAACGATTTTAAGGTTGACATGAGTGAAACTCGTCCTATCTAATATGATTTGACTTATTTTAGTAAAATTTAAAAATTTTCACCCATAAAATTAATTTTTTTTTTACCTTTTAATAAAAAAGCCAAAAAATAACTTAAACTTTTATTTATAAAAACATTTAAAATTAAAAGACTTTGCCTGTGAAATATTAATTAATAATATAGGAATATATAACCGTATATTTAATTAAAATATTTAAGATTATTACATATTTAATTCATACTTATATATTATTTATGAGTTATAATAAAATAAAAACTCCACGCGATATAATAATAAAAATACAATAGAATTTATAATAAATAATGTATAATCAATCAAAATTAACTAAATAATAAATATTCTCAAATGAGAAAGAAGTTGAAAACTTTAAATTAATTTGATTATTTTAATTAATTTTTCTCTTTTTCTAAACTTTTAATTGAGGATTTAATTTTTGAAACTAAGAACCACTTTTATTGAATATATTATCTAAACTCATATTATAAGCTTTGCATTTAATTGGGATATTTTATTTTTTAAAACTTATATCGTTCTTATTTTTTTAAAAGAATTTTGATAAAAGTGGATGACATAATGAAATTTATTAGTAAAGATTTTTTTATTTTTATGTTTTTTCCCATTCGGTAATATTAAAAGTTATTGTTTACTCTATTAATTGGCTTAAATAATTAAAGTGAATATTTTAAATTTATATTTTTTTTATCAAAAGTGAAATGAATTGTGTTTTATTAAAATAAATTATAATATAAAAATTATTATTTATGTATTTATGATTAAAGTTTAACGGTATCATATAAATGTAGAATGATCATATGATATAAATTGTTTAGATATTGAAATATAATATATAAAAATAGATAAATTTTAAAATATATAAATAAAAAATAAAAAATTTATTATTTTAAATTTTATTATTTATTAAATAATATGTTATATTCTTTTATGTGATTTATATCTTCTTATTATATTATACTCAAATTATTTAATTAAAACTTAAAATTTATTTTATAGGACAAAATGTAAGTATTAAGATAATTAATTTAAAATAAATATCATCCTTATCCAAATTTAATTACACATTTTTTTTAATTATTGAATTACCTTTGAAGTTCTTCTTATTTTTATCAGTTAAACAATATTTAAAAAATATTTTAATTAATTTCAGTATATATAAAACATATTCATTAATATCTAACTTTTATAATTATTAATTTTTCACCTGACTTCTTTAAAGGGTCATATAGTTTTTATAAATTTATTTATTTATTGTAAAATTATTAATTAAAAAAACATCACATTAGAAAATATGAATAAATAATATAAAACAAATAGTTTCAAAAGATAAAAATATTTTTAAGAAATTAATCAATTCACAATCTATTCTATCACATCCTTATAAAATAGCCTTTGTTTTGTCCAATTTAGTGAGACATTTGTTTACACTATTATTATTTTTAACTGCTTTGGTTTGTTTTGTTTATGCCAAGTTGGCACTTTCTAAAATCTAGAAAGGTGTGAACTGTGGATTAATATATGTTTAGATTCTGATCCTCAATTAATCAAGTTCATTGTTGGTATTGGAAGATAAAAAGGTGTTAAAAGTGGTAGGAATTTTTAGGGATAAACACCTCCACTTTTTCCAAATAAGATGACCAACCAATCACATAAAAAAATATTTAGAAACAAAAATTAAACCTTGGAATGTTATTATAATTTTAAAATTTAACCAGTTAAATCAAGTTGTGAAATAGTAACGATTTTTTTTTAGTTGAGGAGGTCATAATCTTCTCAATGTTTTATAACTTTTATTGTTTAAATTTAATAATTATTAAATATATCTATTTATATATTTATAATTTTAATCTTTATGTTTTATATTTATTTATTATTTATTAATAATATATTATGGAATAAATTGTGTTGATTATGTTTCATGGTTTTTTTTTTCTATTCTTATATTCATAGAAAAGAAAAGTTTATCTTCTTTTAAAGCTATATGTGTAAGATGTATTATAAAATTATAATAGAAAAAAATAATAAAATATGAATTAAATTATTTTAAATTTTAACTTTTATGGTCTCCGAACAATATTTTTTTTATGGTTTATTTTGCTAGTTTTTGTTAATTGGTTTGATTAAATCAGTTTTATTAGATTTTTTTTTCATTTTAGAGTTTTGTTTACATTTGGTAATCTCACATTGTTTGTGGCTGCCGCATCACCTCTTATTTGCATACATTATTTATTTGTAATTATCATTAATTTATTTGGTCATTAACAAATATTTATAAAATTTAAAATTATAAAGAAAAATGATTATTTCTTAATTTTGAAATAATATTATTAAGAATATTAGTTATTTATTTTATTTTTTACCGAAAACCAACAAAAATATAAAGAAAAAACAAAATAATTGTTATTGTTCATTACTTTCCCAAGTAATAGGTACGTGAAGAGGATTAATTACGATCATTAAATCTTCACTATTTCTTTATTCTATAAAATTTATAATTAATTAAAAGTAAAGTTAAATATACATTGATTTAAAAATTAATGATTAAAATTAGAAATTAGAAATTTGTTCGAATTTAGTTTTAACTTAATCTCATAAAAGTGATTTAAGGGAGTATCACTATTTTAAAAATTAGATTAGATAGATGGATTTAATTTGTCTAAGTGTGAATCGGTCGGTTATTTATAAATAACTGACTTTTAATTAATCAAAATAAAACCTACAAAATTGGTAAAATAAAACAAATTGGTTGGATTTTGGATTGAATAAGTAAAAATATATATATTAAAGATCAATTTTTTCATATAAAAATATAATATATTTTATTTTTTATCTCATATTAATATGTTAACCTTAAATACTAATTATTTTATTATATTTTTATCTTATTTTAATTATGATTCATCTTGTTTTAATATATTTATATTTATATTTATAATTTTTATTATAATTTACGATAATCATAATTTTTATTATTTTTCTTGTTTTTAAAAAGATATTATTAATAATAAATTTATTATATTATAAAAATATTATTTTATTAAATTTAAACCAGATTAAATCTATAAACCTTAAATATATATGTCTTCATTGATTCTTCGAATTTTTAAAACATTGGTATTAACACCTCTTTAATTTTATTTATTTATAGAAGAAGCACCATAAAAGAATAAGGATAGACATTAATTTGATTTTCTTGAATATCAGACCAAATCAAATAAATTCATTTGTTTTGTTTTGTTTTTTGAACGTTTGAGTCCACTCCAAACGAAATGAACGAAACTTGATCTCAACTTATTTGGGTATTGTGTTACTATTTTATAAATCCATGACTGAACTATTCAACAGTATGAGATATGCGAAGAGGAAGTGTTACCATATATTGTCTCCAATAAAAAAAACTCTCTAATCTATACGAAAAACAAAAATTATAATTTTGCATTTCACGAATCTTGATATTCATTTTCTACTAGCAATTTTTTCATAAGATATGTCAATGTTCTTCATAACAATTTTCTATTAGTCATTATCGTTCATTTCCCAAACTGATGTGAAACCTTGCTTTATTAATTTGATGACGACTTTTTATATGTTCTAATGACGTTTTTTTTTTATTATTATCACAAATTTATGCATTGGTGAGACTAACGTGTACTCTTGTATATTTTATGCAGCAACTTATTTCATTCACGAACTCGGCAATCCTAATACAACAACCTCATTTGTGATCAAATTAGCTTGTTTTTGTTTTAAACCCAACCCAAATCGAACATTTTTTATTAGGAAAAAAAATAAAAATAAAAAACCGATCTTAAAAGTAAGATACCTGAAACGCATTGTAGTTAAATAAAGACGAGAAGAATCAATAGCAGAAGGGAAAGCACTATTCAATGATGCCCCCTTCTAGATTTCACTTTCTTTGACCATTTCCGCTGCTTCATAAATTATCGTGTTGTGATGTGAACAGAGAATAAGAATAGGTCAAATATCGGGAGTCACACGTTCACACTTAACCCATCTAGGATTTCACTAAATTCTAACTTCACGATGTGAACACAAACAATCTAATGGGAAAAAAATGACTCCTACTCTAGCATTTAACCAAATCCATTTCCTGGCCCCCACATATTTGTGTCAAAACAACATCGTCTTAATACACTTGAAAACAATTCTACAATGTTTTACATCCGCTTAGTTTGATGTAAGACTCAGCAATGACTTTCGACGAAGGAAAATTATATTTTGAACCCCTCAAAATACTATAATTTGGAACAAACGAGGCCTATCATATCCATTTTGACCATTTATGTTTTTGAAAAGCCAACAATGGAAATCTTTGACTCAGCCCCATGTACTTTTAGTTCCATCCCCTCATGAAATTTCTTCAACCTTTCCCCTTGACACAAGACAAGCCTAGCAGCTACAACTTCGTCTCTCTTTGTAACTCTTGTTAATTTCGAAAGATTTGGCATGGTTTTTCTGTTGCAAATATTAGTTCAAAGACATTCACTTCCTGAATTAAATGTTCCGGTAAAAATTTGATATACAAACCTTTTTGAGAAGCCAATTGCCAACAAAACTAAAACTTTGCATACTTATGGAGCTTACAAACTCCGTCAAGTGTGTAACTTCCATCTTTTTCAACCTAGTCCCACCTGTCACAATGTGCACAGCTTTCAGTAAGATATGCTGAATATTTGCATAACGGAATGTCAAGATTTAAGGATATCTTGTATTGTCGTTATATAATTCAAAGAAACTATTTCAAATTTCATAGTTACAAGTATCATTGTCTCTTCTTTTGTGCCGATCAATAAAAATTGTATCTCATATGTAGAGATATTATCTTGTCCCCACTATGGAAAACTTCTAGTGGTTTCAATTGGACACCAAATTCAAGGATTCATGTATATCACATATGATTCACTTCCTGCATATGACTAGCTGGAGCTAAAGGGCCGAAATGTCCAAAAGGTAGATACCCGGAGGCTTCAGACGTTTTTTCCCTCCAAACAAGCACACATCCACGAGCTTCCATGTATTTAAGAATTTGTTGAGGTATTAATGACTCAAAGCATGCGTGTAACTTCGCTTTAGTCAAATTTTGACAAGCCAGAAGGAAAGCTACCAGGCCATTTGAAGTTAAACCCTCGACGTGAAAAATGGATATGTACTGCAAGCAGCTTATGCTAGCAAGTGCAATCAGCCCCACATCTGTTACTGAACAATATGACAGCTTTATCTGCAATTCAAATAAATCAGTGCTGTATTTGAAACCATTGTAAATCAGATACTAATGATAATAACTTGATAAATACTAGCATACAAAAGAAAATCCAAATGTATTGGACAACTAAGGAATAGGAACCTACCTGTTTTAGGTTTAGAGAATGTTGAGCCAACTGAACCATTCCAGTATCATTAATTTTGCGGCACTTCTTTATGTCCAGAATCTCAAGATGCTTACAACCGGCAACAATATTTGAGAGACCCTGTGGTGAAATATGAGGGCACCCTCGGATTTCTAGAGTTCTTAATCTCTGGCATTTTGAAAGAAATGCTAGTGAAGAATCCGTGATGTTGCAGTTGTAAGCAATGTTAACTACCTTAAGTGAAGGACAGCCAAGGGCAATGGCAACAATTCCCTCATCAGTTATTCTTGAGCTCCTGTGGAATCAAACAGAGCAAACTTCAAAGAAAAACAAAGGAAATTGTTCAAAAGTTGTAACCACTTCCCTCTCTAGATGAGATCAGAATTTTCTAATGTCTATGAGCAATCAAAACTACATGTATTGCAGTTTACATATGCTTTTATAATGAAGTTTCATGAAGCCTTTTCACTCATCTCACTTAAAAAATGAGGTAATGAAGGCTGCAAACTTTCTCGCCCATTAATGTTTAAATTAGATTTAAATTTAACAAATTTGAGATACAAGAACCTGTAGAGATCAAGATGTCTGAGCTTTGAACAACTGTTTGCAATATGCTTAAGTCCATTATCAGTTATCGTCAAGCATATGCCCAACTTCAGACTAGAAAGTTTGGTACATCTTGAGATCGAACAAAGCCCTACACAAATCAAGATGAATAAATCATGCACTGAAGGTAAACATTTTATAATGTAAATATGAGGTAAGAGATGCAACCTATGTCATCTATTTCAGTATCTGTGACATCTAATTCTTCCAACAGTTGACACCGACCAATAAACAAGAAACCTTCTCTGTTGATCAAGCTACAAGATTCCATTCGAAGGGAAGTAATCCGTAAACATGAATTTGTTAGACTGGATATGGATTCCCGTGTTATCATGCGACAGCATGTTATGTCTAACTTCTCTAGATCTTTGTTTGTTTTCACAAGGAAGGAGAGATTCTCATCAGTGACTCCAACACATTTGCTTAAGTTCAATTCTTTGAGTGAGGTGCATGAATTACCGATGGCTTTTAATCCTGACTTTGTACCCAGACAACCATCGAGTTTAACCAATTGCAGTCTTGAAAATCTTTGTAGGCATTTTGCTACAACGGGAGTAACCTGAGTACATAAAATTAGTGGCTGCAGGTGGCATATAGTTCGTAAAATGATTACAACATAAAATAAATGAATGGCCAGATTCAAAACTTACAACCAGGCTGGAGGATAAGATAAGCTTTTCTAGGTTCTGAGCAACATTTGTAAGAGAAGCTATGCCAACACGACCAATTCGACATTTTGACAAGTTAAGCATCTGTCAAGAAAAGAGAGAACACGAGTCTTGTAATACTTATATCATACAGGGAAAGTTAATAAACCCTCTCCTTTACATAGAGCATACTTAAACTAATTTTCATAAACAACTTACAGAATCCAGATGACTCACTTGCTAGAGTTTGAAAGAAAATCATATAGAGAAAAAAAAAAAATACAATTTCTTATATGTTGAAAATCACAAGCATTTCAGTTTGTCTTCATTGCTTGGACACAATATCCTCTATCAAGAGATAAAGAAAATTACAGGCATAAAAATATTAATCAAATAAAAGTTTACATGATAGAAGTAATTAATTTTTTTAAGGAGATCAGGAGGGGAGGTAGAGAGAGCATAAGGTAAGTGAAATCTTTTGCATTATCCTAAATCCTAATAGCAATTGCTAAATCCTATCTTTCCCAAGCTTTAGAGTGTTTAATTAAGGGAAGGGAGAAGAAACTTTTTAGTTAGAAAGGGGGAAGCCCCCCATTGTGTAATTCCTTAGGCACAATGTGCCTCCAGTAGGTCCCGGAAGGAAATGGAAGACCAAAAGGGATACCTTCATTGACTTGCAGTTTGCTTGGAGGGTTGCAAGGCCGTCATCCTCAATGCCAAGACAATGCTCAAGAATCAAATCTTCTAGATGTTCTAATTGAAGGATTTGTTGAAGACATTTTTCTGTGATCTGCTACATTAACGAATTTAGCATAGAACTATCAGTGCCAAAATAAAATTTCTCATATATATATATATATATATCTTCAAAATATTCACGATAAACTTGCACATAGGCATGCTTCAACATCAGCATGAAAAACATATGCAGCTGAGTGCTGTCTTAACAGCTAACGTTTATGTAAGGAGAAGTAAAATAAAATCAAGGTAGGCAGGCGCAATAGTAATCGTTATGAGCAACCAGTTATAAGGAGTCCAACATCAAAATCACTATACTAAAGGAACCAATCATCTCAATCAAGACTGGTCATAAGTTTATCATTATTGAATCTGCACTCAGCCAATACCATCATCAATTAAACGAGAAAACAAACACGTGCTAAATCCACAACATTCCACAGAAATCAATCCAGAAGAACACAGCTCACAACTATAATTGCAGCAAAAACATCAAGATTTTTAGCCTCACACACCATCTCAATCTCCACGACAAGGACAATACAGCTATTGCAAAGGACACGATTGATGATCACCAAAACATACAATAGTTATTTATACTCAACAAAAGCGCCCGTCTCCTCCATTTCACAATCATTAAACATCCAAATCCATTACCGGCATGTAAGAAAGATCCAAACTCCGAATCTCCTTGCACTTCATAGCAATCAAACCAGCCCCATAATCAGTGACACGAATGCACCACCTCAACCCAACATGCCTCAACTTGCCACACCGGACAGCTATGCACCCAATCCCCAAATCCGTTATTCCCTTACACCTTCCCAAACGCAGCCTCTCCAAGTTCACAGCCTCGGCGACTGCCTTTGCCGCCACGTCGGTGAGGTCAGGCCTGTTGGACAAGTCAAGCTCCACCAGGCGCGTGCAGTTGAGAGCGAGGGCGGAGAGCCCCACGTGCGAGAAGAGCCTGGACCTGGAGAGGTCAACGGAGCGCAGGGAAGAGCACCAAGCGAGCGAGAGGGCCTTGAGGGCCAAATCGTCGACGCAGGGACAGAGCGTGAGGTCGAGGTGGATGATGGAAGGGTAGCGCTGAGGGGCTCTGGCGAGGAAATCCAGGCGACGCGGCTTGAGAGTGATGCGGTGCGTGGACTCGAGGTCGTGGAAGGATTTGCAGACCTGGGAGAAAAACTTTGGGGCAAAAGGGTCGTCGCGGAGGTGGTCGAGGATGGCGTGGAGGAGGTCCTTGCCGAGGAGGTCGAAGAAGTTGGGTGGTTCCATGGTAGCGCAATGGGAGTGAAATTCAATGGAACATTCTGGTCTTTTATGTGTTCGTATCAAGGTTGTTTGGTAACTGAAACCAAAGCAGTTTGGTTCTTCGTTTGGTCGCAGGGTATGACCAACGTGTCAGTGTCAGTTCACAGTTCTGCTGACTTTATCCATCGTCGTTTTGCATTTGCTGTTACCGAATTGCCCTTTTTGCTACTTTTTTTTTTTTTGTCTATTTCAAGTGTGTTAACTGAATTTATGTATTTTAGTTTTGTGATTTTAATTTCTGTCAACTAAAAATCCAATTGACGCAATTGAATTAACCTAATTCAAACATAAACACTTATAATTACACAATTAATTTCTATAAGTGATATTATAAAGTTGTTGATTGGGTTTAGACATTGAATTTTGATGTTAGAATTATAAAGTCAAGTCAACTCAATTTATTAATTAATATTTTTTATTTGGAAACTTATTAAATTATATTGTGCAGAAGTGTTACTATTTATTATTATTATTTATTTTTAAAATTTTATTGATTAAAGTTAATAACTTATTATAATAATTATATTTTAATAGAATAATTTATTAAAGCATCTTCAATACAAGAGTCTAAATAAACGTTGTAAATTTAAGACTTGAATTATATGTATAAAAATAATAATAATAATAATAATATCGTGAGAAATTTTTGTCAAGATTTTTGCATTGTAATTGTTTTTAACATGTGGAGAAACTTTAATACTGGTTAGATTTTGAAGCTGTCCTAATTTTATTTTTTATTGTGTACTGAAAATAATGATACTTTTGTTGTAAATTAAAATGAGTATATTGATATTGTTAGGGACATATCTGACATTGCAGGATAAGGGAAGAACGGTGGAGTGGGTATCTGAGGCAGGGCCACTAAAGCAGTTCTTCGCTTAAGTTAATCATAATCAAACTATATAAACAATATTTTATCCTAAACAACCATAACGAATCAAACAAATCATTTTTTTTTAATAACAGTTCTTTCTATAGATTCTCGTGTGTTACGTACTTGCCTCTTCCTTTGTCTTCTCTTACAAAAATTACTGGTTATTAATTTTAAATTTTGTAATTTTGTTTTCAAAATTATTTATATTTTATCTCTACCATAATAAACGGTTAACCAATATTTTTAAAATCAGACGGATTATTAAATTCACAAAGACATAAATTTACTGTTTAAAAGTTTAATTACAATCTCACCAAATTTAATAAAAGAGTATTTTTATAACATAAAAGTGTATAACAAGTTAATTAATAATAATTTATCATGATTCTTATAAATTATAATAAAAATTATAAATATAAAATATATTAAAAAAATGTTTCATAGATAATAATTAAGATAAAATAAAAATATTATAAAATACTAATTATTTAAAATTGATATAAAAAATTAAAAAAAATATATTATATCTTTTATAAAAAATTATATTAAAAAAATTGATATTTTTTTTATCAAAACTAGTTCAACAAAAAATTTAACTAATTTTTTCAATTTTGTTTCTATTTTTCTAATTTTATCTCAATTTAATTAAAATCTAATTATTTGTAAATTACAAAGAAATCGATTCTTAATAAAACCAGTTGAACCGACATATTCCATCCTATTTTCAAAAATAATATTGTTTATTTATTAAAGTTTAAAAATATGGTTGATTGGATGTGATTTCAAGTTAAAGTAAAATATATTTTATTTTAAATTACACAATTTTTTTATAAAACTTTTATACTTTTATAAATTTTACTATTTCTATTTCAACTTATTAAATAATAGAATATAATACAGTGAAAGCATAGAAATATTTACTATTTTTTAACCATTATTTTAGAATAAAACTCTTCTAAAACACTTACCAGTTTTTAAACCTTGACTCTTTAAGACAGAAGAAGGTAAGATCTATTATATATTAAAGAATCGATCTGATGAACTTGACCTTGCAACACAAATCATATATAAAGTATTTATAGACTATTCATCATCACATAATTCTGAACCATAACCAATAAATTCATAAAATTGTCAAACAATAGATTTATCAAAAATAAAGTATTTTACACAAATTACGAAATAACTAACCAATAAGACACGTGTAACATGCAACGTAAACTTTCAATTTCATGAATTTTAGGATTATTTTTTAAATTTTTGCAAAACTTCCCATATAAATTTTTAAGTAGTAAATATTTTATATTTACTTTAGTTGGTGTAAAATTGTTATTAGTATGTTGATGTAACTAATAAATAAAGTAGAAAAAAATATAAATATGTGATCAACATATAAATTTAATAAAATATTTCATGTGATATTATTATAAATAATGATATAATATTTTTATTTGTAAATATTAAAATATTTTGCATAAATTATATTTATTATATTATAAGAAATCAGTTTAAAATTTAAAGATATTAATATGTATAAGTACATTCATGTTTAAAATTCTACCTAGTTTATATTTTTAACATTTCATTAAGATTGACGTTTACATAAAAATAAAATAACTAATATAGTCACATAAAATTATACAGTAAAGCAAAATGATAAGAACATATAGAAAATATTTAAAAGTTGTTTTTAAATGATAAATACAATATACATAATTGATAATAATTATGAGAATTGTTTAAGATTTTATCAAGATAGTTTTTATAACATACTCCATATTATATTGCAAATAGTTAATAAGTTAAACAGTTTGAGTAAAATAATTTTAAAAATTATAACCAAATTATTTTTATTTAATAAATGTTAGTTTAAATATAAAAGCTCAACAATTCAAAGATTATATTTATATTTGTAATCTTGAATTTAACAACTTATTAACTGCTTTTTCTTTTGTAAAAATTAGGCGGTAACATATGTTATCACATTTTTACACAGCTCTATCTCAAGCGTGTACCCATTTACATACTTTTTTAATATTTCAATTATTGTTAAGAAAATATAGGTGAATAGGACATGTCTCAAGTCTTATACTTAAAAAAAGTATAACTTTTTTTCACTTATATTTTGCTAGAAAAAAACCGAACCCTTAAATAACTTTCGTGAATAAAATATATTTAAATATAAAGCAATCGTTTCCTAGAGAATCAATGGTAAAATTATCACACTTGAGAATCTCGTAGTATTTACAAATAATGCAGTGAAGCAAATGAACCGTTGGTTCAAACTTATGCCACTTTGATGATTTATTAGAACGAACTTATGTTCACTAGGTTTATTTTCTTGCCAGTCTTTTATAATTCAGCACTCAAATCCACACAGCCTTCTAAAACTATATTTCAAGAATCTGTTATAATGTTGAAATAGACATGTTTGAGTGATAAAACTAAAATTAAACCACATAAAATCAATAAACATTATAGCACTATCTCAACCTTTCCACAAATGTGGTTGAATTCTTACTCTGCCTTGCTGGTTTGACTTCTGTAAACTTACAATGTCTGCAATTAGTTTCTCGAAGATCTACAAAAATACAGACTACAGAAAACTTAGTAGCTACTTCTTAGCAAAGGTTATAATCATGGGATTCTGTGGAGTGATTTTGAAGCCATGAAGGGCCTGCATGGCCATGGATGATTGCACATCATCTTCAAAATCAACAAATGCAATTCCCGGCTTGGCTTCAATCAGGCGCACTTCCTTAAAACCTGGGTATTGTTCGAAGAGCATTTCAAGCATCCTACCAGTAGTTTCATGAGGCAAATTCTCTATGAACAAAATATTGTTAGGAGCAGCTGCTTCTTGGGCACTGGGTCCTTGACGGAATGATGCCTACAGATAACAGTAGATATTCTGTTAGTTCAATTAACATCAGAATAAATGAACACACTGAACATTACCATCTTCCACCGACCTAAAGTAACCAAAACCAAATACTATGACAATAATCATTGTTCTTTAATTTGCTAGTTTCATTCATGCTTACAAGACTATCAGATATATGAACATTAATCCGATGACCAAAATTTGTAAGAGAGGAAAGAAAATCAAGCACCATAGAGTATATGCAATACTGATTACAGAAACTTACAGTTGGACCACCATTACTTGCACTATGTGTTCCATTAGCCGCAGCAGAGTGCTGTGCTTCCTCAGCACGCCGCTTTTTTTCAGCTGAAAATGCAAAATTATGTCAGTCTAAATTAAACAGTAAGAATTTACTACCAACCCACAAATGAACTAATATTAATTCTTATGCAACAAGTTCAGAAAGATGGGAATTAAAAAACCAATGTCCCAAAGATGGAGTTTTGAATTTTTTCTCTCAAAATGTTGAACATGGAATTTAAATGGAAATGCAGATATATTTACACTGAGAAGCAAGATGGCTTCATTCTTTTGGTTTGCTGGCCATGTGTGCATGCAGGAGTGGAAGGGTGATGTGTTTTTTTTCTTTATTTTTCCATTTTGGGAGGGGGAATGTTGATTTACTAATCTTTCACACACGTTGACCATAAACATCACTAAGAAATTCATGCATATGGTCAAATAATAAAATTGGTGTCACACACACACGCGCTATAGAGAGAAAATTTTCATGTTATGATAGAAATAAAAAACATTAACTATTTCTTCTTTATAACTACATTGTGGATGCTAACCATTAAATACTTTGCAATGTTACAATCTCATTATATATGATTGTTTGGCCAGGTCAAACCTACAAAGAGGGAAAAATAATAATGATATATGTAGTATGCATGAGTTCCACAATTCAAAAAATGAGGAAAGACACAATAAATGACAATTATGCTTACCTTTCTCCTCTTGTTTCTTCTTCTTTTCTCGTGGAACATAACTACCCTCTTCTTTCGCAACACAATCTGACTTTGTTTTTGCGTATTGAATTCTCTGTATCAGATTATTCACACAAAATGCCTTTAGAGACAAATTATTGATAAAATGATATATTAACCAAAATCAAAATATCAAGCAACATCAAATGAAAAAGGGTGCAGGCAGGGGGAGAGGCATAAAGAACACCGGACATCATCCATATTTTCTGTGTCATTTTTTGATAATGAAAATAGTTCCATCGGGACATATAGAAATTTGAATAAAAAATTTAAAAGAAAACTTTTAAATAATAACTCTTAGAGGCAGATATATTTTGGCCAAAACATAAATCCATTATATACAAGACAAACTACAAGATGCAAGATATGAAAAAAAAAAAAAGACAGTGAGATATGCTGCACAAGCAACAAAAAATAGTTCTAAAAGTTTGGTATAAGATACACAAGATTTATGAACAGAACTGCAAGGAAATTAACAACAACATTATAACTTGATTACCATAGGTTTTTCATAAAATGGGAAGTTTTGCATTTGTCTCACTGCATTACTGGCTGCAGTGACTTCACTGAAACAAACCCACGCCTGTCCTCGAAGCTTGGGTGTCTTTAGAGCAACAACATCCAAAATTCTTCCATATTGAGAGAACAAGCAATACAGTGATCTCTTCAACTCTGCCACATTGAAAAGAAAACGTTGATTTCTGATTCAAGTTCAACATCTAAATGCAAAATCAATTTATTTTTCTTAAAACCTGAGGTCATATCAACAAAATCAGTAAAATAGCATATCAAATTACAACATCTGAGATGCAAAATAATCGGCAAGCATAACAAAATGCCACAACAGATATCTTGGTTTATAAAGATCCGTATTGTCCAATTGAAACATGCTCTCTTTCCTTTACAATAATTTCAGCAAAAGAGACACAAAAACGACAGCTCCTTAACCAAATCCAGTCACACTAATTCAGCGAAACAAAAGAAATTTAACTCATCCTGCACCAAATTATATCGCAAATTTACTTAATTTTACGGGCAGAACTGCAACCTAGCAGAATTAAAAAATTACAGTGAATCCAGAAAATGGTTGCAAATGTAAAACAGGGAGTAAAAATAGCATATGAAGAAGGTGCGATAAGATGTTACCATCTTTCTTGACCTTCTCATTGAGATTCTTGATGTAAATGGTCTGGTTTGGAGGTATGTCCCCTGATAACATTCTCTCCCAAACTCTCTCTGCTTCTGATGGAGAAGTATGAACAGAGGGTAGCTGTGGTGCCCTAGCCAAGCTGAGATGAACGCTGGAAACAAACGTTGTATCGATTTTGGGCTTTTTAAAAGAAATTCAAATTTCTCAACGTGGGCCTTGCCTATCTTTATTTATGAACAATCAGAATGGTTTTGCTATTTTCACCTCCTTTCTAAAACATATTATTCCCAATACTTATTTGATAACTTACACAACAAAAAATAGTTTTTGTTAAATTCACGAAACACAACTTTTTATTTATTGCATTCAATCCTATTTGTGACAAGTAAAATAACTATAGGCGATAAATTTTTTTAAAATATTTAATGTAATTGAGTTAGAATACTTTTTTTGATAAAAAAATAAAATTTTAATTTATGTACTAAATTATATCCTCGATCTATTCCTTACAACATAAACATATTTATTAGTGTATTTTTTTCTGGAAATAACTTGTTATAGGTCATAATTTAACTTATTATTATTGGACATGAAGATGATTAATATTTGTGAATATCATATTAGTTATTTTTTAATCTATGTATATGTGTGTTTGGATTTATGTGATTATAATAAGTTAATTTTGTGATGAACATGTATATATTTTCAATACTTGGTATATTTATTGGTTAAGAGGTAGAGACTAATCATTATTCATTTAAAAGAGTGAGATGTAGTGGTATATATATATATACACATTAATCTTAGAGATATAATATAATATATTATTAATAAATAATAAATTAAAATAAAAAAGTTAAATAATATATTATTAATAAATAATAAATTAAAATAAAAAGATAAAAAATATAAAAAATAAAAGATTAAATTTGTAAATATATAAATAAATATATATAATAATTAAGTTTAGAAAGACTAAAATTATAAATATTAACATAAATTATAAAAATTAAAATCATATTGCATTTTCGATTAAAGAACATCTTATAATCAAACTTTACAGCTTACACTCTCAACCATATTTTATATATGATTATAACGAAAATGTATTCTGAGTTGAAATAATTAATAAGATAATAATTAGTACCTAACATAATGAACGTTTCTCTGTACACATGAACTTAGAAATCAAAACTCAGTTTCTGTGTTTAAGGGACATGATTTTTCTACCAATAATACTACATTATCCATTATTAAAATATGTATGTAAGCATGCTTATGTAATTATAATTAGTATATATTCTAAGTTGAAATAATAAGATAAATTATGATAAAAAAATTACGATCAAATATTTTTTTAATCGATAATTAAATTCATTTAAAAGATTGACATCTCCTAATAAATATTTTTTCACGTAAACTTGGTAATTTAATTTTGATAACATGTATTAAAATACATTGTTATATATCTTTCAGCCTATAATACCATATAGGTTGATTTAAAGAGAACGTAAAGAATCTTTTTACCAGTCCCAAGTAATTTAAATTATGCAAAAATAAATAAAAAAATTGGAAATGAAAGAAGTCATTCTAGCAAAGTAATGGGGAAAGAAAAAGTTACTATGGTTATATCTTAAATATAATTTTTTTAAAACTTTATAACAATTATAGTATTATAATAGATTTAAAAAATAAAAACAAATTATGGGATTACATTCAATTAATCACCATACAAATATATGTTGATGTAATATTATGATTTCTAAAAGTATTTTTTGTATGATTGGACATAAGAAGATTATGAAAATATAATGCATTGATGAAAATTCTCGTTGATAGTGTTGGTTTAGCATTTTAAATGTTTGTGTCATGTGAGGCCTTAATTGTAAATTTAAAATAAATAAAATACATTAAAATCATACAATAAAAATTGTAAACTATAAATTTAACCATTTTATCATAAATAATGGTAAATTTAGTCAATGCTTAATTAAATAATATTATAATAATTACGATTTTGTTGATTTCTTTTTCAGGTGTCACATTAAATACCACAGCCATATATTTTTTATTTTTTTTAATCACCTTTTTAATAGTTAATAAAATACAATAATTATATATATATATATATATATATATATATATATAATATTATAATTTAATAATAAATTTACTGATTTTTCAGGTCTTTATTCTGATTGAGATGTTTGCAGGGATAAATTATTGCAATTTTTATAGTCATGCCAACTATTTTTTACCATCAGTAAGAATACTTTTTCTTGTAGCTAGTGACAAATTATTTAAAGAAAAATGTAATTTGTAACAAAATATAATTTAAATAGTTGTTGTTGTCCATGTCTCTTATTAAAAAGTATATATTTTAGCTATGTACAAATGTAATATATATATATATATATATATATATATATATATATATATATATATATATATATATATATATATATATATATATATATAGCTATTTCTATAATTTGTTTTGAAAGCAACCTGTTACGTAAAATTCTCGAACACCCTCTTTCCAAGGTGAAAGACTAATATTTTGGATATAGAACTTATAAAGAGCTGAATCATAATAATTTGATGCAGACACACTCAAATAGAATATCAAACTCTTTGTTTAAGCAATAAATACCTCAATTTCTTGATTCCCACGTCTGTGAAAATCTACACACATGGATAAGAAAAAAAAAAAAGGGACACTGTATTTCAGGTGAAAATTTGATCCATTTCGATTTCTTAGGTTTTAATCAAATTTTAATTATAGATTCTTTTTATTTAGGCCAGCAAACAGTTTTCAATCGAAACATGTATGAGAATCACAATGTCAATACCACATTGTCGAGAAATGTTAACAATGCGATATATCATACAGATTGACAATCGAAAGTACTCTTTTCGGTATTTTTTATTAAGAAACGTGAAGTAAAGAAAACAGTAAAACACATCGAAAATGAAAGGCAGTACAGAATATTAAACTACAGAGAAATGTAAATACAGAAACCTCGAAATTGAGAAATGTAAATAACATGAATTTGAAATTGCAGAAGTGTAAATGGCAAGAAACTTAAACGCAGAATCTTAACTTGCATAAAGATGAAAATGACAAGGAACTGAAATGACAGAAACTTAAAGTTGATAAACGTAAACTGCATGAAAGTAAATTACATGAAAGTAGATTACCAGAGAAAGTAAAGAAAGCGATAAAAGCAATCAACGAAAATGGAAATCCAGAGCATTAGAAACTTCATGATGTGTCGTTCTCCTGTAGACTTTTCACTTATGTTTCTGTTTTTTCTGTCAATTTCCCTCTTTCCTTCATTCTTCGCTCTATTTATAGAACATCCTTCAGGTAACCTCCTAAGAGCAGTTAACGAAAACTGCTACCACGTCCTACGTGCACATCCTTCGAAGTTCTACTTTTAGTTCTACGATTTTAGAAAACTGCTTCCACGTTCCATACGCGTTTAACCGTTCCTCTCTTTATAACTTAGCCATAATTTTGATAGCCATGTAGGTTAACCTTTTCCTCGATCTCAATTTCAAATCTCGAGAATTTTGAATTGCTTTTGATTCTCCTTAACCTTAACATTACACTTGATTCTAATTTCTCGATTTTCAACAATAGACATCAAATATTCTTCCTTTGATTCTCGGTTCTAATTCTCGATTTATGTGTTCATACTGTTACGCGGTCATCGAATGTCTTCCAACCATCTTTTCGATTTATCAGTTTTTTAATCAATCATATGATCCTCGATTTTTCTTTTTTGTGCTTTTCAATCCTTTATCGATTTTTTCACTAACACACTGATTTGCAATATCTTCGAGATTATCTTGTGATAAGAATGTTGGACAATTTTAGAGGGTTGAGCAATTTGAGATTTAAGATAATAATATTGAAAATCTTTCTCATTTAAATTGTTAAATTTCTTAAACATAGGTTGTAACATATATAACCATTTTTGTGACAAAATCTAATGATTCTTCTTCCCTTCTCATCTTAGAACTGTTCCAAAATGCCATAAAAATAATAACATTTACTTTCGATCTCCTTGCGAAAATGAAAAAAAACTTAATTAGCACTACTCAAATATTAGTTATTTTCTTTGATTTTTTTTTAAAATTTATTTAAATTTGTAGTGAAAGGCATGCAACTCGAACATGATAAGCGAGTGACATTTATTTATGCAACCACATCGTTTCAACAAACCTAAGTAAACACAGAATACAACAAAAGATGCCACAACGAAGACCAAGAACATTCCTTCCTTCATTCAACGTAAGTCACACAACACTACATTGAGACATATATATAGTGAGCATGAGAAATAACCAACCAAGTTTGGAATTTCCCTTCACTAGATGGCGAGAATGAGTCCCGGAACAGACTCATCGCACAGCTTGCTCTGCCACACGCTTTGACACGTCGCAGAAGCAACAACATCGTCGGAGTCATGGAAGCCGAGCCTGGTGACGGTGACGGAGGTGTTGACGTACTCCCTAACCTCCGTGATGACGCCGTCGGCGGTGATGGTCCACGCGTGCACCCACCACACCAAGTTGGTCACGTCGAACCCTTCAGCAATGGTCACTGATCCGAACCCAACGATAAGGTCAGGAACCAGCACGGGCTTCGAGGAGGAGGTGGTGGTAGTGGCTGTGAGGAGAGGAATGAGGTGGTGACGGTGGGAGGGTGGGCCGTGGAACCACCACTCCAAGTCTGGTGCCAGAAGACGGTGCATTGTGTTGGTGTCCTCTGAGGTTATGGCTTTGTACAAGTCTGTTACGGTTCTCTTGTTGCGATCCTCTTGATCGTGTAGCCATGCTTTCTGTGAAGTCGAGTTTGCCAGCTCCGGAATATTGAGAGTATGTAAACTGATTGGTTTGTTGAGAGAGTGAGAGAGAGATGGATTTGAAGGATTGGAGTGAAAGAGAACGGTGGTGAAATGTTCTTATAAAGGTGTTTGAGGAATGGATATGTTTCAAACATTTAATAATTAGGGTTAGTGCTCTAAGAAAAAATCCATCAATAAAATATTATTGATTCTTAGAGCTGCATTAGAAAGTATAAACGACTTTGTATTAAATTCAATATTATTGATGACATGATTTTTTTTTCTTTTCTTTTATGTTGAAATTACATTTATTGTGAAATATTACTTGATATTTATTTTATCCACTATATCAATATATATTTTATATTATATACAATTTATGATTTTATGGATTCTTCGATCTAATTTATAATTTCGATTTTCATAACTTTATTTTTCCCTTTACCGTTTAAATTAAATAATAAAATAACAGTTTGTACGATAAAATGCTAATGAAGCTATCAAATCTAATTGATTAAATTATTAAAATCATAATGGTGAAATGTTTTGATATTATATATAAACCCTATATATATGTTGTTGTTGTTGTTACATTAAAAATAAAATAGAAAGGGCAAATAATAGATGTGAGAAAACATATTCTCTAATATTTTGTAGGTTATTTTCTTGAATGTTAGAACCCTAAAAAGTTTTATAATATAAGAATTTATTTTTACGAACAATCTCTATTAAATATTTTTTACTAAAATTGTTTAAAAATTAAAATTTTCAATTTTATAGTTACTAAACATTGGCTAATAATTAAAATTTTTAAATATTGTAAAATCAAAACCTAATCCCAACAATGATCGAAATAAATCGTCTCTTGTTCAAATTACACTTTATTAGTGATATATATGACATAATTTATATTTCTATTGAAAAAGCTGACGTAAATTAAAAATATACAAACATTTATAAGATATAGATAAATAGAATTATTACTTTATTAAACCAACTTTACAAGATTACTTTGTTTTAATCTTTACCCTTTACCGCGAATAATTTGTATAACGGAGGACTCAAACATTTACAAATATGATGATGTGAAGGTTATTATATGCTAAAAACTATCACAATTTTGGGACAAGAGATACATTATTCAATATGCATGGCAATACCACATGCTTTTTGTTTCGTATTTCTTGGTTTTTACTTCTTTTTAGGTTATATTAATAACTTTTTTTCTTTGCAGTTAAAAAAGAGAATATTATATTTAAGTTAAGCCGAGTTTGATGTATGATTAAACAATTATTTTTAATTCACTTGTAATAGATTTACACTTATTCCTTCCCCTTGCATTGGTATAATATGAAACATATCTTCATTTTGAATTTATGCATCATATTAACACTGAAGGTGCCCTTAGTGGATCATTTAGGACCAGAAGAAACACTGAGCTAAGCATGCATGGAGTTAATAGAAAAACACCATAATTGGCCACGTAACCACGTTATCTTCTCCTTTCTAACAAAAGCCATGATTTCCTCCATTATGTTTACTTTTAACCCTCGTTTGTTCACAATTATTGCCATTTTTAGTTATCCTTTCTTGTCACCATTTGGCAATAACAATACCAATAATTTGGTTTTATTTAGTAACACATAGTGGTGTGAAATCATCCCATTTTTAATGTCCCTAAAACAAAGTCAAGCCTAAGGGCATAGCTTATGACCGAACTATTTATTACGTGCATATATTTTTATACTAACATTGTGGTGAGAAATCAAACCCTAATTAAAATCTACGCATCAGCATCAAAAGCAAATACCAAACGGAATGGTCCACTAAAAAATGGAGACATTACGCATTTACTCGTGGTGCCTGACACGTCGCATGCACATGTTATTTCGTAGATTTGCACTAATTTATCTGAATTAGGCATGCGATTTTTTTTATACTGTTACAGGCAAAAAGTTGTTGATTCTTCTCGTAGTGGTCTTAAATTCTTTTAACCTCTGAGGGAGGTCTTGTCATTCCACTTCCTCGTCTTCCCAATGAATTCCTTCGAAATTGTTTTCTTTCATTACTTAAAAAACAATGATTAAGAGAGGAAGATATATAAAGATTTTATATGAGATATTTGATTGATGACGCTTTGGACTACTTTGTTGTTAATTTAGCATTGCTTAAATAATTACCAATTCTACATATTCTATATCACCGTGATTTAGGGTTTGATTAGAATGTAATGTATTAAAGGGTAGGAGTTAACTTACAAGCTTAGTGCGAATATATGTTGACCAACGCCCATAATATAATTAAACAGAGTTTGGTACCTTGTTACGGAAATTTTATTTTACTCTCAAGTCAAAGTATATTATAAGTCTTAGAAAAAATGTCAACAAATAGAAACTATTTATAAGAGAACTGATGAAGTCTCATGATTGGATATGGGTTCGACGAAGATATAATAACATAAAAGGGTAAAAAAACCGTGCAATCAATTACCATATTACATCATTTAACTCAGTATGTCAATATGGGAACACCATTATCCAAATCATTTTTGATAATAAGATAAATTTTGTAGTTACTCTCCTTGTCTTTCTCATTTGAAACAAATGTCCTTTTAACTTTCCCCTTAAACTAAATCAATTTTTTTCTTTTCTAAATTAGTTATTGATAAAATAATTAACTTTGATTTGTTTAATCAATCAATATCATGTATGAGGCAGTACTTGTAAATTACTTAAAAATATGTTTTTATTACGTATATATATATATATATATATATATATATATATATATATATATATATATCTTTTTATATTTTAATTCATACTCTTTATTGAGGATGAGGCCTGTGGACAACGATAAAATTGTGTCTTGCTGACAGGTCATGCGTTTAAATTTAAAACCAAAAATTTTGCATGTGTAAAGAAAAAGTTGTGTAAAGTGATCCTTACCATAAATGATCAGTGAGGAACCTTTTTGACATAGAGGTATGTTAATTCATATTCTTTATTATCAATATAATGGTCTTATCAAGTAACGCAACTTACACATTTTTAAGCAATATTAATTTTTTCCTTTATCGTAACATTTTCAAGTCTGAGTTTTATTATTTCTGAAAAAAAGCATGGAATTTATTATGTTTGGTAATTAAATTTATTTATCACAAACAGTGAAGAAAATAGTCAATAAACTTTTTTAGTTAATAAATCATTAATTTACTTATTATGTTAAACGTACTTACTTATTTGGTTAACAAAATAGTCCTCTTCAGGAACCTAAATCAATCTGTTTGAACATTTTAAAAGAGAATAAAAGTGCTCAGTTGCTGACTAGTTCAGAACCAAGTTGAGATGGAACAAGGGAAATAAGCCTGCCATTTACTTGACAGCTATAGGGCTTCGACTGTATTTCTATAAACACATTAAACATATATAAATACACTATTAAAAGATTAAATAACTTTTATATTGTTTTGTATGATATCTTTTTTCTAATAAATCCTTCTTACCTTGACCTTTATATAATTAATCCACAGAATTATAAAATATAATAAATTTTCTCCTGACTCAAGGACCCACATAAGCATTGATGTATGGTTGCATTAAATTTTCTGTCAAATGTTGCTGACCAAAAAAAAGACAAGGTCAGGATGACGCATACTACGCGCATTTCGTGGAATCGATCTCTAATGTTCTCATGGCCTAATAAAACACAGGCCATTCGTAGATGCACAATTACTCTAATTCGGGTAAATCTTCATCCTTTACTCACGAGTGATTACATGACAAAATCAATAATCTAAATGTACAAGCCACTCTGATTCGGACTACTGCTCCTGACAGAACAAAAATAAATGCATGACAATAATTATTACAACCATGGGGAAAAAAAAATCTAATGAGAGGATAAATAACACGAGAAAGAAATCTGATACACCTCTCCTAATATAAAATATGATACAATCATGTTGTTGCAGCAAAACCACATTGCTCACCTTCCTCTTTAATTTCAAGGAGTTGAACGCTATCTGTTTAAAATGAAGCTTAGCGAAGAAAAGAATCTGGAAATCACGTTTGCTTTGATAACCAGTTGTAGTTTGGAAGTTGACCCTGCCTCAATCAGCAATGATTCTCGATGCTGGAAATTAGTGTTGATCTCGTATGTCGAAACATTCTCTTTATCCACTACTTTCAAAGCAAGATATCACCAGCAAACAAAATTGGTAAATTGAATCATCACTCTAGGTGTAAACCTTAGAAGGGAGATTGACACAATGGGCAGGATGATTTGTGAGAAGTAGAAAACCATTTATAAAGACAAGCAGAATGAAATTTGTGTTTGCATGTCTTGCAAGCAAGACGAGGAAGACTATGGTTTGTGGTGTGGATTACACTGTAGCAGATTGGGCACTCCTCAACACCTTCAAATTCTTTATCGAAATTGCGCTTCCAAATTCCTATAGCTTCTGCTAAAGCCCCATTCTGCAGTACCAGAAAAAATAATTGTTAACTTCAGTGCCAACCTGCTGTGATATCATATCATTAATTCTCACATTGATCCATTGTCCACTGAATTTCACAAAGGTTTATATCATTTAGCAATACCGGTATAAACTAAAAAGCAATCAATGCAGGAAATAATTCTCAGCAAACTGTTATATTTGGACCAATCGTGCAATGCAAAGCAAAACGATTAACTTATACGAGTTTTGAATCTACACAGTTAATTCTAGGCAGTTTGCAAAAGTGGGCAGCCGAAGCCAAGTACAACAAATACCTGATTACGACCAAATAGCATCATTGACATCAACCATTTCCTTTGCTTGGTCTCACTAATACCTAGACTCCTTGTACAATCAACATCTACTGGCCTTAGTGGATAAGATGCAGGTAGACGAATGACTAGATCCATTCCCGTTTCATCCTTAGTGTAAGTAGCAACAATCTCATTCGCTGATTTGCTTACACTTACTGAAAAATTCTCATCACGAAAATTGGCTTTCTTGATCTGCATTGGAGAGGATAGGTGGACATATATATCAATTAATTGCATGTTACAACAACAAAAAGAACAATCAAAGCCTTTTTCCCACCAGGTGGGCTGGCTACATAGATCAAACAATGCCGTTGGATTCTTGCATAAACCAAGTGTTCGCAACTTCAGATAGACCATTTAGATTTGATCCACACAAAAAAGGATCCTCTGTAACCATGACACATATATAGTTATCAAACTAGTTACAATGAAGGGTTAAAGTTTATAACACACGTAGATTTGTATATATGATAATATAACTGTGTGGAAAGAGTGATGTGACTATCACAATAAAATGTTTAATTTCTTCTATTCAACAAATATGTAATGATCATGCAACTTGAAGTTAAAATGTTTCCACACTCTTAAATAACAGATTATGCCATTTCAAAAAAATATTTATCAAACAACAAACTATTTACGTGGACAAGAAACTACATACCTGAGACAATTCATTTGCAATGAGAGGAGGGCTGCAACATGTCCTTGTAAAGGATTCAATGACAGCTGAAGTGTTACGGTCACGCAAGTCACTAAACCATCCACGTACATAAGCTGGAAGAACCTGGAGCATCAAACCATATATTGCACCAGCTAGTGATGAAATTTTCTCCAGTTCAACAGGCCAAAGAGATTCCACAGCAAACATGAGTGAACCGGTTGTAGTAGCACAGGTTGCAGCACTTGCAGCTTCTGATAAGCCACCCGCAAGCTCTGCATCTTTCTTCTTTAGACTCTGAACTGTGGAAATCTCTAAAGGAATATGCTGAAAGAGGCAATCCAAAATAACTGGAGTAGCAGAGTCTTGTATGTACTGGATCAGTCTCTCCCTCTGAGATGATGATGAAGGTAATGACTGTAGATGTGATATCAACAAAGACCAAGCAAGGAAGAGATTTACCTACAATATTTTTGGAAGATCATTAGTACCATGCAAAGTAAATGAATTAATAAGCATCAAAAAAATGTTTTTGAAGCATAGTTCAACTTCATTCGCATATAAAGCATTCTTACTCGATGTGAAAGAGAGTCTGTTCCTAGAACCTCATGAGGTGCCCTTTCTACCATGAAAGATATTTCCTTTTTCAGATGTACTTTTTCTTCTATTGACATGTCATGACGACAGGTATCATCATCACTAGCAGCATATATGTTTGAGTTGCAAGCATTATCTTCAAGTACAGCAATGCTTAAAACAGGCTCATTTGAAAGAACAAAATATGCAGCAAACTGCAATAAAGGAATTGGCTTGGAAGTAAAAAGTATAGCATACAAAGAGCTAATAGATCCTTTCCTTAGTCCCCAAAATTCAACTGATTTCACTGCTTTATCTCTACATTGTGATGAGGAATTAACAACTCCAGCAGCTACCAAATTCCAGAAGTGTGTATATTCAACCCGTGATAATGCAATAACTGAGGCAGCTTCGTTATAGCATGCAGTTGCAATAGCCTCAGAAATGCCAGTACAAAATAGTAGGCGGAGGACACCTTCTAGAATTCGACCTTTAACAGAATCCAATTTTTCTGATTTAAACACTTCATCTTGTTTTAGTTTAGAATGCTTAAGGAGAAGCAAGAAAGACAAAAGGGCATTTTCAGAAATCTTTATGGGAAAAGGATCTGAAATCAAAACAATTTCCTTAATTTTCTGACACATCATATTTAAATTATCAGATGAACTATCAACAAGACCATTTATATTTTCAGCTACGTCCTCCATCATGACAACTGCTGATTGAATCCAACACCTTAGGTTACATAATAAAAAGTCCCAATCTTCTTTACTGAAATCATTCCAGCAATAACCTACTGAAACAATCATAAGTTTTGATAGAAGCATCTGCACCACTGTAAGCTGGTTGAACATAGCTGATCCACTAGCAACATGCCTTTGCTTCTGGAATAATTGATAGAGAAGTTTCCTCTCATCAGAGCTGATACTTCTTGCTGGCTTTATTGCTTGCGGACCACCGACTGAGCTAAAAGGATAACAGGCAATAACCAACTGAAGCCAATCTTCCAAGTCTACATGAGTAACGAGCAATTTCATTAATACCAACATTGCTCATTGCAAATATTTTTGGATAAATTTTTTTAATGGTAACAGTTTCATCTGAACCTTAGCATTACCACAAAAAGCACATGCCCATATACACAAAAAACAGTACAGAATTTTAATGGAATTTCTGTCTTTACTGATAAAAATGCCCTTTTCAGGACAAACTGGTAAATAATCATTGTGTTTTGATCTGAAGAAAGAGAAATTTACCAAAAAAAATAAAGAATTTTAATGGAATTTAAATCTTTAGTGATAAAAATTCCCTTTTCAGGACAAACTGGTAAATAATCATTTTGTTTTGATCTGAAGAAAGAGAAATTTACCTTCTCCTGTTTTCCATGTGACCAAAGGTGGAAAACTTAGGGTCCTCTCTAGCCAGTCTATCATAGTATTTTGCACAAATTTTTCTTCTAAAGAACAATGATGGACACCAGTACCAGGCTCCAAATACCCATAAAATGATTCTAGAAGTATATTTATAAGCAAAGGTAGAATCTTAAGACAATTAGTACTAACTGCTTCACCAATAAAAAGTTTATCCACAAGAAGTTCTATCAGATTGGATGCTTTCGCTGGGCCCCATATTTTCTCTTTGAACAAAGTGGACAGAAACGAAACAAGTGCTCTTAAGAATGGTTCTTCAACACCTTCCACTTCATCAGCTGGAACTGGCCACATACTAACAGAACTCTTCGTGCCAGTGCCTCCATAAACAAGGGAACCATCAAGCAGGATTCTTAATGTTTCATCTAACAGGCTTTCCTGGAGAGAATTACTTCCCCTGGCATAAGCACAGAATGAAGGCCAGAAAGAAGATACAGCACTGCCTCCAGGCCATCTCCAAGTGCACAGGATTTCGGCAGCTAACCACGCAGAAGATGCAAGCTCTTGATCTTTTCCAGGCAAAGATGGAATAGGAACTCCACACCCAGTAATAACTCTGTTGATACCAATTTTTGAGATTAATTTGTCAATTAAAGCTACAAACTTCTGGTGTCCTGAAGCCTGCATTCAGTATAAAATGGTTGTTAAAAGTAGCACATCATTTTCTCTATACATTAGGCAGAACAGAGGAAATTTTAACATGTTATATTTCCGAGAAGCAAGCCATAACTAGCTTTACCATAAACCATTGAAGGCATACAAACTTCTTTTGAGCATTCACAAGATAAACACTGAAAAGGAAAAGGTCAGACTAAATACTTGAGAGTGAATAAACTTCTCAAGAGTCTTATTCGCTATTATTTGGCAAAGCCTACTATAGCTCAATTAAGTAAGAATAAACTTCTATATAAGAAATACTAGAAGAAATAAATAAGAAAGTAAAATGAAAGGTGTTTTCTCCACAAACTAAGATTAACTTATGCATTAATTTATTTAAAGAAACTCCCTCCTGTTAGCTTTTTTAAAAGATGGTTTTTAATTTATGAGTTAGCTAATTTTAGCTCATGGAGAAAATTATTTCACTTTCCTACTTTCTATTTCTAGAAGTGTTTGTGGAGAAACTTATTCAAACAAATCCTATGTTCACATTGATGTAGTTTTATAATATGTATGTCAAAATAAATAACACGAACCATTCCGTGTTACTTTGTAACCAATATAGCACAATTGAAAAAGTAAAAGATAAACACAAATGTTAATAGAGACAAATAATCATGTGTCAATACCTTTGTCAAGCTGAAATTTCGAGCAACAAACACAGGCCACAATTCATCCTTACTGAGCAGATAATGTAGCAAACTTTGTTCTTCATTTTCATCCACACAGACATGCTCAAGAACTTCAAGCACCCACGTGCAGCATAGTGGTGCAATTTTGTCATTAATAAGTTTGTCTTCAGCAAATATTGCAAATCTTATTGACTGAACTAAGATATTTGACAATCTCTTGCGGCTATCTGAGCAAAGGCTCTTCAAAAATTGAACATTTATCGTGTTATGGAAAGCACAAATATATTCACCAATTGTTAGCCTGGGCTTGATTTTTGTCATTGAAATTTCATCAAGTGAATCATCCAGAGCTTTGCTTAAATTGCACTCCCAATCAATGAGAAAAATTGCAGATAAAATTCCTGATACAAGTCCACTTTTCCCATCAAGAGTCTTCAGGCTAAAGAAACTACCATGAAGTATCTCAAGAGCAAATTGAGCTATCTCAACAGTGTTGAAAGAACTATCAAATTCTACACAGATTTTTTCATCATTGCTTAACATAGAAGCTGCATTCTGTACCCAAAAGAAAGGTGAAACCTGAACAAAACTTAGTAACTTCCCGAAAATCTGCTCATAGATGAGAATCAATGCATTTCTGGACAGAAAAGATGATATTCCTTCTGTTAAACCACCAAGAAGAGAGCTGCAGGTAAAAAACATAAGATCAGAATGAAGACTACTCAACTTAAGTGGTCAATCTTGTATTTATCTGGGACAGGTTCAAAATAATATTTATATATCTATTTAAGTTTGAAAACCAGTCTTCCGTACCAGCTACAAATGCCCCTTGTCCCCATAAGCCTTAACAGCTTCAGATGCATATTATCCATGTCAACTTTCCAAAATCATGAACAATAGAAAATATCCACTTTCCAATATATTGCATAGTTAGTTGCAGGTTCATAAACATGATGGTGTTTAAAAGGGACTGTCTGAATTAGCTTTAGGCTGTCATCAAACACAAATCCTTGTTTACAAGAGGCAATGAAGTGGTAGACTCAGTCAAATCAATCCTCCCTTGATTTCCTTCTCCTTAATCCCAAACCACCCGACAAAATAACACTTAGTTTTATGGCAGTTCTGTCATGAGACTAAATTATGTACTAGCATATGCATGAATAGACTCACAGTCAAACCAACTAGCAACATGAATCACCGCGCATTTTATTTCACATCCAGTACCCCCGCTGCTAAAATGAATTTGTTAGTTTCTGAACTATTACAGATATTTAGATAAAGTTCTTGGACTTATAGATCATTTTCAATTGGATACTTGAGATGGGGTTTTGCCAAAGCTAGACAATCTTGATCCTTGTTAAAGTACAAGGATGTTCTTGATAATTTCTAAAATAGTTCAAAAGGTCAAATCACTAGTTTAATATTCAGTAGGTCCCTGACCTATTTGGGAATTTACAAATAGGTCTCTACATTTAAATAGGGGTCAAGAGTATTCTTTCCAACTTCAAAAGGACCCTAGTCCAGAAACCCAATCACAATCTTTTAAAGTTCAAGGACCTATTTTAAAATTCTTATCTAATTATGGAACAATAGATTAATTTACCCGTTTTCCATTTTTGCTTGCTGTATCCAATTTCAAAAAGTACTGATGTTTTCATGCAAGAAATGAGATCAAAGACCAAAATATAGCAAGATAACCTAACTTAAGATTTAAAAACCAAAAAAAAAAAAAAATAGAAGAAAAGAATATAACAATCATATTATTGACATGTATAGTTCTTAACAGGTGAATTAATAAATAATGCATGACATACTTCATCTTGCCACCTAAAAATTTAAATAAACATACCATATAAACTGCACATGAGAAGTGCTGAAAGGAGGCAGAGATTGAGAAACAGCAATAGCAGATGATTCAAGATATTGATGATGCCAATCTTCGGCATTACTGCCTTGTCTTCTTTGACTGGAATCATCTTTGACCTTCCTCTTCATATTCTGTTCTCTTGCTTTTTCCAGGAGCATGGCCAATGTTGCTGCATGGTCAGCATCCAGCAACCTTGGTTGGAACTCAGAATTACTTTGGCCAATCACATAGTTGACGATGAAGGACCATTGTTCTGAGAAATACTCATCATCCAGCAGTGCCAACAACAAATCTAGCCTAGCACTGGTTGAGCAACTATTTGACTGTAGGCACCAAGGTACAAATGTATTCTTGAATATTTGCATAAAGTCTTCAATTTCCTGTGTTTCATCCCCATCATTTGGAACCTGACTAGTATAATGCCCTTTATTTTTCATAAAAACTTCTTGGACGATCATCTGTGGTCCAAATATTGAAATAGCAACTGACAGAAGTCTCACAGTATATGGTGAATCCTGATATTTAAAAAGCAAGGTGAGTCAACATGGTAGAAAATATCATTCCTTTTAACGAAATGATAAACCTGTGCAAATTTAACATCTATTTTTAAATAGGATTAGCCAACAATGGTGACTTCATAACTAATTCCCATATGTTGGTAATGCAACTAACGCCAACTATACAATAATATGTATTGGCAAAATTTATTCTCAAAATTTATTGGATCATATCTACAATTATATTAATTGAAAATTATTTGATATCTTATTCATATAAATCAAAATCAACGTAATTTATATTTTTTAAAATATACTAAAATATAAATCATTTCATATCAGTGTCTTACTATTGTTTGTTTTTCATAAAATTTGAAACACACAATCAATGCAATCGATCGGCCGGTTGGATTCATTTAAATTACATTCATTGGTGTAATTGTTGCTGTAAATTACACTAATGCAATAATTGATGAAGTTACAATTAGAATACGGGCTTAAAAACATCTATGACACTTGCAATAAGACAAGTGATATATTATATGAAGCATAAATTTAACAACTTATTTATATTTTAATTGTTCCTTGAAGTTAATGTATTCCTGAAGACCCCCAAAATAGTCTATTTTGTATAGCCACTTGTGTCTAGATTTTTAAAATAAATTCTGTTCAAAAGACCTAAAAATAATCTTCAGAGTAAGAACAGAACCCATCAAACCAAGATTTGTTTAAGCTTTGTAAAAGAGACTGATTTTAAGCATAGATAAATTATAAATGATTAAGCCAGAAAACTATTACAATGTGAGCAAGTACGAACAGGAACTCCATTCTGATTAAGATGAAAGTGTTTAATATACTCCATACTACAGCTTGTGCTGTGTCAATACCAAATTTCTCATTATCCAACCAATGATTAAAATTACAAAACAACAGTAAGATAGATTACAGTGTCACAAGTTTGTAGAATATATCAACTTACAGATGATCTAATGAGTGAGAAAGACTTGGCTAACATTGGTCCCACAATATAAGCCAGAGGCCAAATTGCACCTTTCAGCACAGCATGTTTCTCCAGCAAAAACATGAACAAAATGATTCGTTCAACAATGTCCACATTAACTGCTTGTTGAAGAGCACCCAAACAATTATCCTCAAGTTCCTCAATAAAAACAGATAGAACATTGTTATCCAACATATAAACACCTAAAAGGATTTCAACAAAGCACTTCCCCAACTCTTGAAAATAGGACATTGGATACTTTGTATTCAGCATATCCACTTTCTTGTTTTGAGAAACATTTTCCTCGGATGAAGCTGTTGCTTTTCCTGACTTTATTATTTCATTAGCTTTTGAGCTTCCAGATGTAAGGAAATCCCTCCAGAAAAGATTTACAAGGACATTATCAACAAGAGTGACTCGGAAATGACTGATTGAGTCTCCTCCATTAGCATATCTGATACAAGCAAAAGACAGGTTAGAAAAAGTGACAAGGAACGCTAAATATTTTCTTTGGTGAGTGAAGGGCATACAGACATGTTGTAATAAATCCTCAAAATGCAGCCAAAGAATTAAAAGGAAAATTTTGTACCTTGAAGCATTTTTCAATGACCAAAGAAAACATTCTCTCAGTGCCTGGAAAAATGCTGGTCTCTCTGTAGATAGAGAAATTCTCCTTCCAATCCACAAGTTCTTGAAAAATTCAAGAAAAAACTTAACCCCTCCGACAGATTTAGGTGGCACATTGTCTAAGAATAAAACCAAAGCTGGATATGAAACCTGCTGGGAACCGAAGCAACCATTCCTAAGAAAATTCCAAAATGGATTCAGTATGCCTTTTTGAATGTTTAAGGAAGACCAACCATCTGGGAATTTTCTAAAGAAAAGTAATATTACATCCCACATTGAGGGATGACAAGTAGGATCCTTCTCATTGAAAGCACCAAGAATTGCACCAGCAACAGTTTTTATATTTCCATCATTAATAGCCTGAGGTATATTTTTTATTAAGCTCTTCAATACACTATAAGTAGCTGATCGAATGGTAGGCCTTGGTGACCTCAAAAAGTCAAGAAAGTATTTATGATCTTTGAACAGCTTCTCAGTAAAAGCAATGGCAGCTACCCTAGCCTTCGAAGCATGTTTAGGTTCAGTAGTTATGCTCTCAAAACCAGGTCGTTCTTGTTGTAAACAAATTAAAACATCAAGAAGTGTGGCCAATGCTAACAACGTTGATGATATCACCTGTTAGATCAAATGGATATTAAACTTCAAGTAAAAATTTTATGGCCTAAAAGAAAATTTGAAACCATCAAATATGTCAAACAGTGAATGTTAAAACTATAATAACTAGAAAAGACCACCTGAAATGAAGATTAAATAGATTAAAAAGGGTGACAATAGAGGATAAAAATTAAATTATATATGCACAGCAATAAAGCCAGGTATTATTTAGTCGTGATCATGGGTAAGTAAACAGAGTAGAAGACATACAGATTATTATTCACTCATGCGTTTATCTAGTTAAAATCAAATTAGTCCACAAAGAGAAAAAGTTTCTAAATCATACCTTCTGACTCACCTTGGGAGACACTAGGATCTTATGGTCTATATCACAATCACATGTTTTTAGATAGGATATTGCTTGTACAATTATTTTGAATGTATAATGAACAACCTTATGCAAATATAATAAGTTTAGTTTATGCTAGAGGAGTTTAATGAAAAAAAGCCAGCAAGATGTTTGGCACATTTGAGAAAAAGATTACATGATTATATTAAAATTTTTAAAGTAGCTATATAGGCATGTAGTAAGATTGCATGCATATAATCATTTTGTAATTATTTACCCAGTGTCAGTCATACCATGATGCAAAATAGCTAGCTATATAAGCATGTAGTAAGATCTCTACCATAAATTCAAAATACTTTCATAAAAAAATAACTAAAAATGTTTATGTAGCATTTGTGATACCAAAAGAAGGCATTAAATTTTACCATGGAGAATATATTTCTTACTGTACTAAAACGGAGGGCAGTGCAAATCAATAAATTCAAGTCTTTAATTTCTAGGAATGTTAAAGTGATTCTCACATTATACCTGCTGATATATCTCATCTAACTCATCTGAAGCTACAGCTTTGTCAGACAAATTTTGCGGTGTGAGCTTTAGGTTTTCTTCTAAATACATAAATATCTCTGTTGTGCATAAAATCAAAGCATCAAGTCTCTTTTCCTGTGCTGGAAAGGCTGCCTGTCACAATCAATCAAAGGATTAAAACAAATAACATATAGCACAGATTTGGTAATACAGTTGTGCAAGAACAAGCTTAAGATCTGTTGTGCAGAATATACCTACGTAAACAACGTACCCTACAAAATTACATGATACTGAATTGAATGCCACTAGACACAACATACCTGTAATTTAAACACATGCATTCTGACATCCATGTACATTTTAAATATACTTTAATATTTAAGCTTTCATTTTAAGCATATGAATAACCTTCATGTTCTTTTCATGTAAATTATCACTGTATTTAAGCATAGCTCGGTAGTATAACTCAAGCAATAGATAGTGGACAAGGACCAGAAAAAGTTCTAAACCTACCTTCAAATTTCTTCATTTCATTCAAATTGTTTCATCCATGATAATCATAATTCCACACAAATTACACAGAACATTTCGTTCAAAGTAACGTAGGACAAATCCTCATCAGTTTTGAGCTCATATTTACATTGAAATACATAAAAAAGAAAAGGAATTTTCAGATGGATCATCCGTATCCTCACATCACAAACTGATACAATAGAACAAGATACCCAATTGAACCCAGGCTTGATTGTTGATTAGGCTTGTAACATGCGTATCAAATCACATATAGCATACATCTAGGTAGGACTACTGCAACTATAGCAATTCTAAGAATTTGAACTTAGGATCTATCTCAGTCCTACAAAATTGACTTATAAGATAAGACTGTTCAAAAGTTATCTTAGAAAGTGAGCTTTAAGTTTAACTCAACCTCACAAAATCAGTTAATAAGGTAAGGTTTCCACCAACTTATATACTATAATTTGATTATATCTCTAGTTTATTTGGGATCCTTAACACACCCTCAAGCTGAAGACTGGATATCTTGAGTGTGAGACTAAATATTTGTGGGTAGTTTGATAGTAGGTGACACAATAAGCCCAACTAATATTTTTGGGATAGACTTTGATACCATCTTAAAAATGGACTTTACTCAACCTCACAAAATTGGCTTCTAAGGTGAGGTTTTCATTTATATATTATAATTTGACCATATCTCTCATGGATGTACCATCTTCAACATGTTATAAACTCTATTTAAGTCATATCTTTAGTAGATGAAAAACTAAATTACTACCCTAGAAGCTACAATAAAAGCAGCCCCAAAAGGAACTGATTTAAGCAAAGAGGTTGCAACTAAGGTGGGCTGGGGCTGACCACAATTAGGTGGCTTTTCAACACTCCACGTCCAAGACCAGAGGAATCATATATTTCTTGTGCATTAATAAGAGAATTGTCAATTTAAGAACAAGCACAACTATACAGGCCAGGATATGGCACTACTAGAAAGCTTTAGCCACAATAATTTAACTTTTACATCCCATCTTACTAGAAAGACATATTTTTCAAAAGAACAAGGAAACCACCAAGACCTTTAAGGTATGCTGTATAACTAATAAAAGCATCTTGGTCTTGCCACGCCACTAATGTATTTGAAGAAGTATATCTGAATTTATCAGTTAACTCGAAAAATCTCAATGAACCAATTTTTTTTAATACTAAAACAAATTCCAGAGAAACATTTTCCTTTATCAACTTCTCTTTCATTTCAAAAGAAAATTATTGCAAGCTTCCAGAACAGATCACTTGTGTTCCTTGCAGGTTGAAAACATATGCATGAATGGAGCATTCCATTATAAACAATTTTGCTATACTTTAAGCTAGCCTTTTTCATCATTATGAAAGACATAATTTAGAACATAAATGTAATTTGTAATAACCAATGTAGCAAACCTGCAAAGACCTTTTTGCTGCCTGAGAAACTTCAGAAACTGGATCAAATTGAGCAAACCACCATGGTCCCATCAAAGTCTTCAAATGTGGGGCTAAATCTCTCCTGAGAAGGATGTGAGCAGGAAAATCAACAATAAATCTTGAAATGCATTAATTAAATTCCCTTCAGAGAATCATTAAAGTTTGGTTACACATGTGAATAATAACTAATATTTAATCTTAATTCAAGAAAACTAAAATTTTAGAAAATAGTAGAAATGCAGTGTGCAGCAGACAGGTACACTGTAACCAATTAAATTCACTTTTTTTGGAATAATAGTTAAACGAAAAAGTCCCCACATAGTAGGAACCAGGAAAAGGCTTTTGTTGTTCGCATTAGATAGACTAATCTTGAAGCCATTGTCAAGAAGATGCTTGGCTTCCCCACAAGCTATTATTGAAGGTAACATAGAAGATATAAGCATGCAGATAATTGTAATGGAAGAATTAAAACTAGTATGAATAGTAAATAATAAATATGCTTTACTATACAATATGTCAATACTCCCAAGCATTTAAGGTCTTAGTGCGCTATTATCAAATAAGTATGCATGTAAGTTTGCAGAGAATAAAGTAACATTTTCTAATTTCCATGTTTAAATATTAAATTATACATTTGAGAAAGCAAAAAGAAGGGCATATAAATGTCCGTCAGAAAAGTTCTAACCCAACAGAAGTAACAAGAGCAGACATGGTATCATGAGTGGCCCGCCTAACCTCCCTATTGTAGTCCAGCAGCAGCCTTTTATACTCAAATGCCTACATAAGAACAATTTAAATAGTCAAATATAGTAAATAAGAACCTTTGGATATTGGCACTAGTGGATTTATAAAATTAAAAAGGGGGTCACATATCCACCAGACAAGAGAGTTGCATAATCTTAACAAAATAATGGGAGTCCAACATCCAGTGCAATGTCCCAATCCCATCCAGTTCTAAATACTAAAATTGAAGGTCTATTTATTTTTTTCACATGTTAAAGTACTGTTATATTTAGTTTGTCAAATCATGTCTAGAGAGAGCTGCATGGCCTATGAACTTAGCAATTAGTTATGGTTTGCTCCATCTTGTAATGCTATCCAAATAAATTTATAAGGATCATTAGACTATTGAAGAGAGGCCTGCAAAATTCCTATCGAGCAATAACATGAACATTTACAAAAATCTCCCTCTTATGACTTCTCTCACTTATACTGAATTATTCTCAAATTTCCACATTTCCAACTCTCACACACTCATGCTCTGAATCCAAATTTCCACATTTACTTTCCTATCCAACTACCCCCTATATTCTCTTAATCTGAAGAAAGTGAGCCATGCAATTATTCAAGCTCTGAATCAATTGGAAATGAGAAGGATGAACAACTTCTTTATGGACAAAAGTATAAAATGTTTTCAGTCTTCAAAAGTTTAATCCTCTGGATTTAATTGTAAAGGAGAAAATGTAATGGAAACAAAATAAAACTTGAAAGAAAAAGGCAAACACATCTAAGTTACACACACGCTAGGGTGTCCATGATGTACCTGGCTTATGTCCTAGCCATGTCCCAGCTCTATCCACATACAAAAAGGATAAGACTGATAAAAAATGCATTACAGAAAAAGTAAGAGTGGCATAACACCTATTGAGGAAAAAATCATTTGGATATTTGAGAAGATCAATAGAAGCCTCAATTAGAAAAGTTGATCAAACAAATGATAACCTAATCATTGGAATAAGGCCAAGAAAAACAGTGATAACCATTAAAAAGGATTTAAATCGAAATAGCTTACCAGCAGAATTGGCTTTTGACAGAACACTGGCCTCATTTTATTCATGTAACCTCTCTAAAGTATGTTTATTTGTATTTATCTTATTCACTAATGGGTAATGAGCCTTAACATAGGACCTAGTCTGGACGAGGAAGGATCCATCTTGCAATCTTATAATGAATCAGGAGAAATAGTTGGACACTTTCTAAGGCTAACCAAATTGAGAGAATGGTCAATGCCCTTCACTGAATACTCACACAACCTTTCTAAAGACTGCTGATACTGAAGGAAAGAGATAACAACTTACAAGATCTCAAGTCTTGACTAAGAATGGAAACAGGAAAGAGATCCAAAATCATAGGACCTAAATCAATTAAGGATTCTACTGAATGAAATCAAACCTATAAAGGAAACAAAACAAAACTCTAATTGGGTAAACTAGGCTGTCTTGGCTGCAGCTTCCTGCTCCAATATTGTCATGATGTCATTCACAAAGGAACCCACATCATAACACAGGCCATAAAATGATAAAACCGTACAAACAATGTCTATCTCAGTCTAGCTAAATTTGTAATAAATAAGTGACTTTGATTGATTAGTCTACCTAAAAGGTGTAAAGTAAACTAGTGTCCAGCCCCATCCTTTCAATTCCTTCCAACCTCAGTATGTTCAGGGAAAAAAATAGTAATACACGTATCTTATCACTCCCATCTTGTGGTATACCAATTCCTTTCTCAGTTTCACTTCCGTAACAGTTTTCAGTAAATGGTAATCATGATTTTATGTGATAAAAATCTGACATAATTAAATAACAAACAGTAAGACCATTAGGGGGAAAGAAAATTCTTTTTATTCTATAAGGGGAAAATCATGATGAAAAAGAACAATCAGTTCACTATTCAACCTAGATGTTCTTCATATAAAAGTTAAGAGAACTGATGCAGGCAATGCAGAGACAAACAAGTAATATATTGTGAAGACAACATGAAATTTCCATACCCATTGGGGAACTATTAGAATGATTTCTTTTGCAGAATTTTGTTGAAGCAGAACAGATAAAGCTGTCAATGCCTTAAGCTGTTAAAAAAAAGAAGGAAAATAAGAAGCATATGAGCTTATGATATATTACAGGTAGAAATAATAAATGAATGGACTTGTCTTGATAGTCACAGACTACAACATACAAGATAGGGAGAAAGAAATCATCCATAGGTTGACAAGCTCTGCCAAGATGACTTAATGATAATTTTATTTATAAGAATGTATGAAAAAAAAAAAGTATTCCTTAATAATTCTCAAATCATAGAGAAAGGATGAAACATTAATTGGACCATACACAAAACAGGGATACAGATATACAAAGTGTACTCCATCAAATATCGTCTAAGCACCCTATTAAGTCCATTAATATAGTTAACAGCATAAATGCTTAACAACTTCAACCAATCATTATCCAGAAAAATAATTGGAATCAGAACTTCATCATCGCAATAGCAGTAAAGAGAAATAAGGTAGTGCTTGAAAGAATTCAGAGAACCTTGCAATTGAATTCTAACAGAATAAGAAATTTAATTTTATTGAAGAACAAACTGACTACTCAGTTGTAGTTTTTACATGTGTGTATATATATATATATATATATATATATATATATATATATATATATATATATATATATACAGTAACTAACTAAAAGCATTGGACTGGATACCAAAACCATTAAATGGGAAAGAAGAGAAATACAACAGTTAGCCCAAGCAAGAATGCTTTTCAGTTTATATAGTCTAATAGTACTTAACCAAGCATTTTTGGAGCTCAAAAACTACTTTTAAGTTAAAAATGAAAGCTTTAAGTTCAAATTTAATATTGTTTGTTACTTATATAAATTTTTCTTACAATAACCCAAATTGTAAGATGGTATAGAGTCTATCCTAGATATACTAAAGGGTCATCACCATATTATCCACACACAAAACCCAATAATGCTGCTAGGTGTGAGAGGGTATATTGGAAAAAACCCAATTCCCACGTTGGCTAAATATAGAGGTTGGAAAGATATATAAGTGGGGGGTAACACTCACCTCACAAACCAACTTTGTAGGATTGTGTTAGGCCTAAACCCACATTCTAAGGTGACATCAAATTCTATCTAGATCTATTAAAAGGTCACCCACTTTATAATCCACACAATAAACCAATGATGCTCGGGATGAGGGAGTGTATTGGGAAAAAAACTCAAGTTTTACATCAACTAGGGATTAGACTAAATTATAATATATAAGTAAGAGCAAACCTCCTTACACATCGGATTTATGGGATTGAATTAGGAACAAACCTACATTCTAAGAATTTTTAAACTTAAAAGTTACTTTGAAGCTAAAATTTTTTGGATAGGTAATCTTGAATCTTGGAATTTGAGAAGAAAAGCAAAATGAGAAGTTAGAATCAAATAATAAACAATGATTATTAAACAAATATCTATGCTTTTGGATCTTAATTGTTTACAATGTTAGACAATTAGAGTATTTTAAGCTTTTATTCAGGAAATTAAATAATTGAGCATGTTTTGTGAGTGATTTTTTGCAGCCAGGTGAAAAAGATAATATAGTTAAGCGAGACTAAATGCTTGCTTAAATGAGAGTGAAAAGATTTCAAGAGTTAAAAGTAAAAGCTATGCTTAACTGAGGCCATATGCTCACTTAAGCCAGCATATAACCAGTAGACTTCACAAATAGCAAGGTTCACTTACTTACGTGAGCATGGAAATCTAGATATCTTACTTAAGCAATAGGTTTGAACTAGAGCCCAACAAATTATCTTTCCAAGGTCCAACTAAGTTCTTTAATATAAAAAGGTCCAGAAACATGCCAACCTATCTTTGCTGTTTGGGGAAATGTGGGGAAAGATCTAAGACTCTCGAAGTGACGGTTGAAAAAGGTTTTCATCACAGTTCCATTATCACTCATTAGATTTTGCTTCTCTAGGATAGTCACGAGCAGTTAATCACCCATTGTTAGAGTTGGATATAGCCAGACCCAATCTTGTGTTACTTTTGACTTTGATCTTACTTCTATTCAATTATATTTGCAAAAATAGTTAACATTATCTTCTGAACAACTTTGTAAAAGCTATTTTTTGTTGTACCTATCTGTCACCTAGAGTCCTACGGGTGAACTTAATTTGCTTTTTTCCTCTCTCTTTGTACTTCTGTTGCAACATACACATATATATGAATTCGAGGAGAGATCTCTCAAGTCCTTTTCTTCATATATTTTTTCTCAAGTACACTACTATTCTTTTTTGTGCCGAATGCTTATATGAGTTTGATCACCTTCTACTCATTTTATTGGTATTTGATTGACATCAAAAAGTATTTCTAAACTAGAATCTAGGAAGAACACCACATTGGGATTAATACTATAACTAGCTGCAGATGAGCATGTCAGATATTCCTACGTACTAAAACACAAGTTATCCAAAATTACCTTAGTGGTGGGATCCTTCCTTCCTAGCCTCTTCAAGTGAACCGCAATCTCACTATCAACATCCTGTATATCCGAAAAATAAATATATTGACATTAAGGCAAAGAATGAAAAACTTGTTCACTAAGCAACGCTGACAGACTAGTCAGATCTACTAACTCAATTTCAAGCTGCAAACATGCCTCTTAGTTATTCAAACTGAGTTTATTCAAGCAGCAAATGCGTGTTAATTCTGAACTCAATTTATTGAAGCACAAAATGAAACTGGCAGCAGCAGTGCTATTCCAGTAAGTTTATTATGACCACAAAAGCAGACCTAATCAATACTCTATCATAACTACAATCATAAATAACACAAAAATTGAACAGAAAATAGAACTCTCAGTAACCGCAACAATCTCCAAAACAAAAAATGTAGCACAAAACTGGAAACACGTACGACAAAGGGGAGAGAGTCCTCGGACGAAGAAGGAAGATCGAGGCGCGAGCTACCGACAAAACCACCAAATCCGACGGCGGCGGCGGCGGCAGGGCCGGAAGACAGGAGCGAGGCGGCGAGACTGCGAGGAAGAAAAATCAATAAGACGAGGAGGAAGAAGTTGAAATTCCAAATTAGGGATTGACGCTAACCTACTACTGGAAGGGCGTGACTTGCTTCTGGCGTTCTCTCCTTTCGGCCTTCCCATTATAATCTTTGTAATGCGTAAGCAAAAAACCTCTTCCTCTTGTTCTGTGGAAGTGGCAAGGGAAACGAAGAAGGAATAAATAGAGTAACAGAGTCACCGCGTGTGTTTAGCGAATGAAATCTTCTGCTGCTAAATCAATATAAATATTGGACGAAGCTGGTGATAATCGGAGAACTATTGCGAGAAATGTCGAAGGCGAGTTTATTATGATTTGCAACTAATTTGTACCCATCACTGTCGCACACTCTATGACAAGTTATCAAGTAGTATTTGAAGTCAGGCGCGGCTTTAAACCCTTGGGTGTATATATATATATATATATATAAAATCATTTTTGAAAATTTAGATAAGATTTTTATGATTTTTTTAGTAAAAATTATTGAAATGAATTTTATTCTACCAAAATAGTTTTTTCCATTCAGTTAATCATGATTCGATATCAACAGGTTTATTTTTATCTATGCTGCAATACAAATATTCTTTTGATGTCTTTCATTCTTTATCATTTCTCTTTTTAACACGATTTATTATTTATTACATTGTTTTCGTTTTCTATTTGATTAATTGAAATGATATATCTTAACTTTTTTTATATTTTATGTCAAATTAATAAATATGATTATAGTTTAAAAAAACATTTTTATATTTTTACTCAATTTAAAAGTTGTTTTTTTAATGATTTTTTTAATATTTTAAAGTGTCAACAATAACAACAAACATATGCCAATCGGACCATTATTTATTTTAGTTTTTTTATTAAAATATGTATCTCATTTGTACTTTTAATTTAAATTTCAAAAATACTATATACAAACTAGTTAAATGAGTGGTGTAGAGTTTTTAATTAATATGCTTAGAGTATAAATTTTGGATATTTACTTGTTTATATTTCATTTATAGTTTAAATTTTTATTAGTGTAATTTGATTACTTAAAAATATAAAATTTTAAATTTCAGTTAAATTAAAATTCATTAAATTCGAATTACTTTATTTGACAAAATATTTTTAAAAATAAAAGAATTTAAACTAAAAATAATTGAAATTTAATATATTTTGAAAGAGGGCAAGAGTTAGAACCTAGATAATAGAAGAATAGTTAAAAGGAAAGGAGATTAAATAGATTGAATGCTCCATAATACAAAGCAAATTGAAAAAGAAATTGAAGTAAATTGGTTGTAGGAACGCAAAATCCGTCACTAATTTAGTTTGTGACATAACTATTGTTACTAAATTTGTTGCAAAATCATAAAATTTTTAGGTGGTCTAAGTTGAGAGATCACATCTTCCGTACATTTTTAGATTGTCAACCGTCCACAAATGCTTTCGTAGAATGAAATAACCTCCTGGGTGATTAACATAATGTCTCTCCTTCAGCAATCATAATCTCAGTGTCTCTTTATCTCAGAAAAAATAATCGATATAAACTAATAAATTAAAAATTTTTTATGAAATAAATTTAAGTCTATTTCCTCTCTTAAATATGTTTTACAGATGTGTTTATCCAAACATATCTTTAACAAATGAATTAAGCCGTGCTCATACATTATTGTTGTTAATGCTAAATAACTAACAGCTTGTTTGGCTTTGCGTTATGTACCCCACCTTTGCGTTGTATATGCACATTTACATCCAAACTACGGCAAAAGAAAAAGAAAGAAAAAAAACACAGAAACAACCATTATTAGCTTCAACGGGATTTGGATCTAACTTGTCTTGATAGATTGTACAACGACGACATTTACTAGCATAAGCTTACGATCCAAAAACGTGTTGAAATTTCACTGAATAAATAAATTGATCACTGAATCAAATTTCAGTACAGATATTCTGTTCCACCAGCCTTTAGTTCTCAACGGTTGTATCCTTATTCTAAATGTGGATTGCTTCCTCCAAATTTGGCTACGTGCCATATGAATAATGAGAATGAAGATAGGTGAAATAAGAGTATCATCTAATAAAGTTAAATGACAAATATTTCATCAGTTGCTCAGTGCCACAACAATGAAAATGTTTCTGGGGTTAGGATCTATTACCAATTGAAATAAAACATTGCTTCTGATAAGGAACAATATCTCATTTCCTCCCCCTATTAGCCAATTAACTAATGTTATGAGCAAAATAAATCTGGGTATGAGTGAGACAGAAAGATCATAAAAGACATAAATCAAAACCTTTTTTCTCCTTGCAGTTTCATGTGGGTGTTACTGTTAATGATACTACTTTCTTCCACTTAAAAATATGACAAACAAAGCCACAATTAGAGCATGATCAATAGTCCCCGGAAATATTGTTAGGCGAAATTTACCCCTACTGACATATATTTGGTGGAGCTTGTACATCAGGCTACTCTGCACAGAAGTATAATGAACTTGTAAATCAGAATCAATTGTTTTGATCCCTTGGAATGTGATGAACTTTCAATATGGTAAACTTGTAAATCAGGCTCCTCTGTCATAATATACAAATTATCATCATACTCTTCGCAAAGCATGCTTGTAGTTTAATTCATACAGAGAATAGTTTTTCTACATCCCTTCTATATCTTCAAACTTATGAAGGCATAATAATGTGTCTAATATAATATTATTTGGAATCTACCTACTAGGATCACGGTGTTTGGATAGTTTGCAAGAGGTCCTAGATTTAAACACCATTGAGCCATTGTATACTAAAAGAATATCTATTGATTGGAATCTGAATTTGGCCAACATAATTTCAATTATACATGGACGAGTGGTAACTAAGAGTCTACGAGAAGTAAATTACATTATCATATTTATACTATACTTCTAGCAGAACGCGATAGAGTAAGAGTAATAAATGACATAAGTTTATCAATTTTAAATGGGAATTCAAAACGTCTAAGTGCTTGTTTGACTGCATGCACGGTCAGTTCCTCTCACCGTGAACACATTTCAATGTAATATTTTAAGGGTAAGATTAATTAGATCAAAGATCTCAATCACGTGTTAATAGACTCTTGAATCACTTAAATAAAGCATGAATTTAGTACCTGTGCAACCAAGTCAACATCTTTATAAATGCAGCATGATCTCTGGAAAGGGGAGCCCTTCACTTTCAAATCACAACCTTTATCATTAGAACTTCCACTCTCAAAAAGTACCTCTAATTCAACTCTAGAAAGGGTTTTGAGGGTCCTCTGCACTCTAAACACCAGATCCCTATTCCCATCACTGTCTCCCTTATAGCACTTCCAAGACCCATTCTATCAAAAGAAAAAGACGAAGAAAAATTATATTTTTTTAAAGAAAAGGAAAATTTTATTTATACTATTAAGAAAGAGAAATTAAGATAAGAAAAACAGACATGATAGCGGTAGATGGAGAAGAGGGTATTGCCTGAGGCATCAAGCAAGAGTTTCTTGTCATTGGGAAGGGGTGATGAGTTAGGGTTGGGAGGGTGGCGGTTCACGCTGAAGACTATGTTACCAGACTCATCTGCAAATGCTAGAACACCACGTGAAACTCCAGCATGCTTTTTGGAACCGAACAGATCAATTGGGATCTCCCAATTCCCGGACCCTGGATATGATGACTCTGAGGTTCCCAATTCCATTTTTCCTTTTGCTATTCTCTATCAGCAGCAACTCACCACTAGCTGCACAAAATATAAAAAATAAAAGCAAAATAAAGGAAAGGAAAGGCGTTTTAGGAGATTCATCTGTTATTTACATGTATCACAAGGAGTAAAGAAAAAATGGCAAGGGTTGTGGGGAATGGATCTAGATGTTGTAGCCAGCGAGAGCACTGGCTGGTGGCTGCTTTTTTCCCTAGATGAGAGGTCGTAGGACACATACACTTTGAACGACAATGAGCAAGAAATATATGGTTGTCGATCGTGTTTGGAAACTTTTGGAACTCGGAAATTTATCAATTCATTGAATAAGTCAAATCATTCACATAGAATTCCTTTTTGATGTGAAGACATATACAACCAACATATCCCACGTTGTGCCCCATCTGTTGTACAGCCATGTCTATGATGTCCCACATCTTACATTCAATGCAAAGTACCAAAATATGATTATCATTATCATTGAATCTAGCTTCTAACAAACTCACCAAACCATACTTCAGACGCTAACACAGAAAGTAGCACCACTACAATTTAAGAGAAAAAAAACACATGTCTCTCTATTTACACTCTAAACATGCTTGTATTCAATATTCGTGATCTATGATCAACTAAATGATAAAGGGACAAAGCAGAAAACTTAAAAGAAAAATTGGACAAGCTACATCAAAAGAGACATATAGACTACTACAATTAATTTCACTTAAGCATGCTACATATTCTCATGTACTGGATCACAAGCTAATCCAAAATTACCTCAGTGGTGGGGTCCTTCCTCGCTTTAGGCGTATCACAATATATCCGATGCAAATGACAGAAACATAAACATTGAAATTTGATCATAGAGTAAAATTGACAATCTATTCCATGCTGCAAACAAGCCTGTTAAGTTTATTAATCATAGAACGGAATAGATTTGTAACTTCAAACTCAGCTTACTAAAGAAAGACATGATTTTCAGAGTTTTTGAGATCATCGTTACAGGAAAAAGTTCCACATTTCCTTTTAAGAAAACTGTGAAATGAACACTTCTATCTGGTATCCAAACAAAGCCTAATTCCAGAATGTTAATAATAAGGACAAAAATAAATTTGGACCTACCTTGTACTATATGATAATCATAAATTATAAATAAAATTGTGCTGAAATTGAAATTTCTGTCACCACACCAATATCCAGTAAAAGGGGCACATAACTGGGAATACATACATACATCAAAGGGGAGAGAGTCTTGAGATGAAAAAGGAGGATCGGACGCCAACTACAGACAAAACTACGGAATCCGACGGCGGAGGTTGCGAGACTTGGTGACGTTGAATTCTCAATTTAGGGATTGGTTTAGAATTGCGAGTAATGTCGAAGTAGGGGTTGTATGTTTTTCTTTTTTGACAAGTCGTGTTTATAAAATTATACGGTAGTAAGTAACTACTAAAGCTTGCATTGAATTATGAGTGCTGGGTGTTAAAGCTACTTCTACTCTTGCTCTACAATTTTTTTAGAATAGAACAGTGAATTAGGTTAAAAAAATACCTGTCCCCTTATAATTAATTATTTGATTAGTTAATTAAAATAGACGCATCAATAGATAAAAAATAAAATAAAATTAATGTATAGTTATTCCTAGAATAGATATTAGTGCAAGACACTGACTGCTACCGTAATTAACTATAAACGTATAAACTAATTAACTTTTAATATGCATCAACAATATAAAATAAATATATAGCAATCCAGACTAATTAACTTTAATAGTAATGACAAAACTTATAAATAATTTTTTTATCTGTTTTTAGTTATCTTTCAATTGGATCTGAAATTTTATCTTGCTAATTTATTTTGATATTTGATTAAAACTTTTATTATACAAATTAACGAAGACACTGCTCTAACGTCTACAAAATTCATCTGAGTTGCGTTTATAAATAATTACGACTTCCACTCATAGCTCACATGTTGGTTAATAATATGTAAAACAAATACACTATCAATAGATAACTTATTAAAATGAACCCTCAATCAATACTATCTTGTATAAGTTAATAAATAAAAAATTTGAAATGACTACTTTAGGCACGTAATGACAATCAAAAGGAGAAAGAATGAAAGTGTCACCTTAATATATGTTCAACTTGTCAAAAGTTCAGACAAAAATAATAATAATAATAATAATTATAATTAATGTCTTCCACTAATATGTTTTCCATTCATAAAAAGTTGGTCGTTAATGGTTGATTACAGTATAAGGCAATAATGCACGACACGTGAATCATATGCCGTTGTTTTCTTAACAGTTCATCTAACTAACCTTCACTTGTTTCTCTCGCACAAAAGCTAAATGAAAAAAAAAATGATCGTGAAGCGTAACAATCAAAGGTGACTCCCACCAAGATGTGGCTCTTCTTCTGTGGGATTCATAATAGTGGCTCCCACCAAGATTTTGCAGCATGGTGCATATCCCCGTCGTACCTATCTTCATTTTGGTGCAGATGAATCTCCGTTTGGCTAAAAAAAAAAAGAAATATTTCAAAATTAATCATTGTTTTCTTGTCTTCCTTTGTAGTTCACGATATGATTAGAAATTGAGTTTACAGTTATGCCGTTGAGTCTATTCCAGTACAGATAGTTGCATGCATCTAGTTAATAATGAGATTTTAATTTGTCGAGATAATAAAACATGTACTATATACGCCAAGCAAATATATGTAAGATCTGTCTGTATTTTTGTTTTGGAAGAATAATGGTTCAGAAGTTGAAAAAGTTGCCACCGTCAAAAAAGTATGTCGACAACTAATATACTTGGAATGACTTTTTGTCACGTTTTGATAAACGGTAAATGCAATATATTAATTCAAAAGCTTTGACGTGACAATTTCCCCCATATACTATAGATTACAATTAAGTGGCTGCTTCAATTTTTGGTTGATTATAAATAGACCCAAGTAATGTGAGGTTCCATATCCCAAATCGAACATGGAATCCCATGATGAAGAGCATGCTGCAAAACTACTTAGAGCTCAAACACACGTATGGAATCATATTTTTAGCTTCATAACCTCCATGTCCCTTAAATGCACTGTTGACTTAGGCATACCAGACATCATACACAACTATGCCCAACCCATGTCACTCTCCAACCTCATGGCTTCCCTACCAATTCACTCTTCCAAAACTCACTCCATCCATCGCTTGATGCGAATCATGGTCCATTCTGGCTTCTTCTCTCAACACAGTGACACCCACAATGACCTAGAAGTCAAGTTTGCGCTTACTGATGCATCTTTACTTCTGCTTAAGAGTCATCCAATGAGTGTGACACCTTTCTTGCATTCCATGCTTGATCCAATTTTAACAAATCCGTGGAATCAGTTTTCTAATTGGTTCAGAAATGATGATCTGACACCATTTCAAACGGCACATGGGAAGTTGTTCTGGGAGTATGCTGGCAGTGATCTGAAAATGAATAACTTATTCAACGATGCCATGGCAAGTGACGCTGAATTAGTCACTAGTTTGGTGATTGAGAAATGCAAAGGTGTTTTCATGGGATTGGAGGCATTGGTTGATGTTGGAGGAGGTACAGGAACCATGGGAAAGGCCATTGCTAAATCCTTCCCTCAGTTGGAATGCGTTGTATTTGATCTCCCACATGTTGTTGCTGGCTTGCAAGGAAGTGAGAACCTGAAATACGTTGGAGGGGACATGTTTGAGACAATACCTCCAGCTGATGCCATTTTGTTGAAGGTAAATATCGTCACAAATCAAAGTACAATGTTATATGTTCTTATCTGTTTTTTAGTAACCTTCAACAATTAGTAGCTAAGTATGTAAAACGGTTTTTGGTGGATGAATTATACATTGCGATTGAGAACATTACAGGACAAGCTAATTCTAATTAAGAAGCTTAACATAGTGAGTCAATACTTTATTTCCTTTTAATAATCCTTCTGATCACTGTTACCTTGAATGACAAAACAGTGGATATTACATGACTGGAGTGATGGGGAGTGTGTGAACATATTGAAGAAATGCAAGGAAGCGATATCGAGGAAAGGCAAAGAAGGAAAGGTAATTATCATAGACATGGTGGTGGATATTGAGAAGAAAGATGATGAATCAATTGAAACACAGCTTTTCTTTGATATGCTGATGATGGTGTTAGTCGGAGGAAAGGAGAGAAATGAGAAAGAATGGTTTAAGCTGATTTCCTCTGCTGGTTTTAGTAACTACAAGATAACTCCAGTTTTGGGCTTAAGATCTCTCATTGAGATCTATCCGTAGTGAATATGTTGGATACGTAACATTAGTGATGTTGGAACTCTGTCAAATAAAGAAAAAAAAAAACAAGAGGTAGTTTTTGTTGCATGATGTAATACAGATAAGTGAAGTTCATCATTGTATTAGAAATGTCAAGTTCATCATTGTATTAATTAGAAATGTGAAGAAATATGTTTGTGAGGATTGTTACAGGTAAGCAAGATTGTATTGTTTCCAAAGGGTTTGACAAATGTATAAAGAATGTTGATCTAAATAAATACAACTCAGTATTTCAAATAACAAAAATGTTTGTCTTGATTTTAGATAGAATTTTTGGGGTAAATGATTGAAGGACCATTCACGTGAACACAAGTTCCAATGTTGACCTTTGTTTTGTGCTTTCGTCTAGTCATTTATAAGTTACATAATTTATAAATGCAAACAGAAGAAGGGGAAATAATGAAAAGAAAATATTTTATATTGGAGCTCTGGTACGTTATTATTATTTTATTTTTGAAAGATACCTTTGATAAGTTAAGGGAAAATTATGTATTTAAATTATCTTTGATTTCGACTTCTAAGCATGCCGAAACATAAGTTCTCCTGTTGAGGATTAAGAGGTATATATGAGTAGAGCGAGACCCTACTCTCGACCTTATAGTGGACACTAAATGTTCTTATCGAACTGAAGCGGCAAGACGTTCACCTAGCTGAAAATGGTCGGCAAC